TTTGTCGATAGAAAATTTCTACGAGGAATGAGAGCAAAAAAACAGAACCCGAAAACGGAAATATTCGCAGATATGGCGCCATGGCGTCTCGATAACAAGAGTCACATGCATGCATTTCTTTTTTTAATTTAGCGCGGTTTGTCCCAAGGAGAATGGCACAAGTTTGACGTTTCTGCACCCAAGGGTTGGGGAGATGCAGATTTTCAAAGAGAGCCATGTAAATCGTGACCTTTGACCTCAAATCATGGCCCCAGGTGTGACCTGAGAGAGTCAGCAATAGGCTCCAAGGCCCTTTCTTGAGGTCCCTTACAATAATTATGAAGCAGAATTTCGATCCAGGGGGGTCGATTTTCATCCTCCCATAGTACCTTAAATGAAAGGAGGCCCACTACTGGATTGGGCTTGCACTTCTTGTTTTGCATGGCCCCGCATACTGCACACAGGCGTTCTTGCCGACCTGGTAGGTGTTCCAGCTTGTGTCGGGTCCCAGCGTCTCAAGAAGGCACAGGAATTGCTGAAGGTGTTTGCAGCGGTGTGCCGTCAATCCCTGCCGTTGTTTCGATGATTTCCACCATGAAATTGTTCCTACTAAGAGTTCGATCGCTACGTTCGGAAGTACGGGAACTTACGAATAATTTCCGGCATTTCTGAACTCAGAAATTCTAAAAAATATTGATTCCCAATGCGATGAAATTAAACCCAAGAGCTCTTAGTCAACAAGTCAGTACTTGGGACTTATATGCTTCAGGGATGCGTCACAAGTGGCCACCATTTACTTCACAAGGAGCACAAGGAGCTACCACATCTGAAAATACATAATGGCCAAAAAAGTCTGGAAAATCATGCGTCTGCACACTGCTCACCTTCTTATGTATCGTTTGAATTTTCAAGGGTGTCATCAATGGGTGTGGTAGCGCCCATTACCTTCCTTCAACCCCTTCCGGCGACAAAATTCAACCGTCTCGTACTCCTCTCTGAGAGCAACAGGAACGAAATTTGGTGTGCTTCTTCCTCTCTCAACACAGAATCGCTCCAACAAATTTGAAGCTACATCTCCCCGGGGTTGCGGAGAACAATGAATCTCGCTTTTGGGAGATGTGAATTTCGCTCCGTTATTTTTTTCTCGCCCACTTGGGTAGCCACTCCTGGGCAGTTTTCGGAGAAATTGAACGACCAAATCAAAGAGATTGATATGGAGGTGACAAAAGGTATCATTTTTTGCTTTCAGTTTACCATTTCGCCATTAAAAAATTATGAAATTTGATGCCGTTAATTTAGGCTTAGCGCAATGGCTCCGGTCCCTTCCAGCGGTGTTGCCGGATATCATGCCGGCGTTATGTTCCATTCATGGCTTCTCCAGCCTTAGTATCGTTCCCTGGATCTTCTCTTTTTAATTTAGGAAATATTGCTGTGCTGAATTCATGGGGTGAGCTGAGATTGAAGCGGTGTTTTGCAGTGGCCGATGGATTTGGTGGAATACGGAGATTCATCTCATCGGACATCCTTAAATTAGCATGAAGGCGGCCAGCTCGTTTGTCGTGGCATTTTCTTCTCAGAACGAGACGAGACGATTCGAGGAATTCTGGATAGGCCTAATGTTCCCCGACCGCACTGAAATGGCTCATGAAACTCGAAAAAGACCAACATTCGATCTAATGCTATACGTTGTTAAGTGGGCCATGAGATACTGAAAAGGCCTGCGGTCGGCATAACGTTACAAGTCCTGAACGAGGTGTCTGGAAGACATTCTTATTAGCCGAATTGGTCCGTAGGCTGAGGATTGAGTTTCATTTGAACGAAACAAGATAGGCCCAAGCCTGACCCGAAGAAAGTCCGTCGGTTATGCCTAGGCCTAAAGTTAGTGAGTTCCGTAGAGAAGGTGGGAGGTTGGGTTGAGAATAAAGAAAGGTAAACCATTGAAATTGGTTTTCACATTCCTACATATACGTAATTGGTAGGCGGTTTGAGGAGGAAAGTTTAATGAAATTCCTTGCTCCGAACATGAGTCATAGCTCTCTCTGTAGAGGTTGTCAAATGAGATAGTATGCCAGTGCGTTTGCCTTGAGTACTGCCTCGGGGCGAGGACCAGAGGACACATCAATGGAGGACCCATCAAACACTTATTTAATCGAGGTCATTCGCGTTTCCTGGTGCAGTCACTCTTTTGACATCCACCGGGAGAAAAACTTTTTCTTATTTAGCCAATATCAAATTCAGTTTTTAAATGATGCAACATTGCCTGCAAATATAGCATGCGAAATCCTGTACGTTTCGTGTCGGTCTTTTATGGTATTCCGTCTGGAGACGTGGAAATTTTGGAACTTTTGTGTGGGTTACCCGGCATTGTCCTCGCCTGATGTACATGAAAATTTTTAGCTCGCTCTTTCTTTTCCAGAAATTCAATGCAACGCGTCAACAACAACCGAGATCACGACGGACACTACTGAAACCTCAAGTTCCGCATCGGACGATACCTATCCCTTCGTCACAGGAATCGAATTGTCCACTCCTGATCCCACGCTCTGCGATTCGATGGGAGAATGCAAACAGAACCTGATAGGGGATGAGGGATTTTTGGAACCCTGCGTAAATACCGACGGAGAAGTTCCTGCATATCAGGTAAGTCTTAAGGAAACATTCTGGCAGCAATAAAATTGTGTGGGGGGGGGGGGGTTTGTTTTTATTGATGGTAGTTACAAATGGAAGGAAATGTTTTGAACATAACTGACTTCTCTCGATAGGGTACCGTCATCAGTACGGCAACACTTTCAAATGAAATTTATCTCAGCTTAATGTATCAACATTTCAATTAACTCTTTTAGTGCCAGAAAATATATCCTTATTTGATCCTTGCGCGAAAACGAGAGATGAGCATTTATGAGAGATGAGCATATTTCTCTTAGCATTATGAGAAAGAAACGGTAGTTTCCTGCTTTGCTATTGCATCCCCAAAAATCATAATATTTAGATGTATAAGAGCGTAAAATATTGACAGGCTCTTTTGTTGAAAACCTTGAAAAGCAGGTTTGCTTTTAACTACTGTGAGGAGTTGATATACTTTAATATGGGATACCAACATCTTCACCGCATCTACATTTGTCGAAGATCAATCTTAATGCGTTGATTTTAAGTTCAATTGCTACCGATGCTTTGTTCGCAGAATAATGTTTCCATTTTCGTCGTGGGGATGACTACATTTTAGCCTCGGTTCAGTTGATAGGCTATTTTATTTGCTGAAGTATGTTTCAGGGAAATTTAGCAGTTTCTTGGAGAAATAAAATCTGTGATGTAAGCTCCGGTGTTTGCGCGCTTGATTATACACATCTCTGCGCACGTGAATGCTTAGGTAAAATGATGATGAACATGATTGTATATCACTCAGTCCACCACAGACTTTCCCTGCATTTAGTCAAATTTGTAAGCATTTGGTTTTGAACTCGTAGCAATGCCTGTGGAACATCCTCAGATACGATGCAATGGACTCAATCGATATCGTACTGACAACTGAAGATTTCGGGGATTTTGAAGATGGAAGCCTGTTGTTGGGGATGGGCTACGGATACAAAGACGATTTCCCAGGGGCAACAGATGAAACTGTACTGGCTTCATTTGACAGCCCTGTGACGGAGAATGTAATTGTGAAAGTGCCTTGCAATGACGCCTGGGTTAGCGTGCGGATTCTGAAGAAGCTGATCAACCCTTTCAGGATCTCCTATTTCATATTTCATGATGGTCAGTTTTTTTCCCACTAGTAATCTTGTCCCAATGTTGCGTGAAAGGTGGATTCAATGTTGCCGCAATGTTGAAATGAAACACAATTCAATGTTAAAAATACGATCATGTGTAACGTTAAGCCGGCGTTGAATTTTCAATGTTTGAGTATTGCCTCTTCCTTTTCCTGAGCCTGAACGCGTGTCAATATTGACTAGAGCTTGAAAGTACTCCAATGAGTGCAGCTGAACCACGGAAGTGTCCTTCGGAGAAACTTCATTCACTTGGTCAGAACTCGAGTTTAGTACTTGAATGACACAACTCCTGTCCAGCTAAGGAGTTACGTTCCTGGTATCACCTCCAAATCCACCACTCACCCAGGAGGAGAGCCCTACACACCCTTGTAAGCAAGTTAATACTATCATTCTCGAAAGAGGTATCAGAGGCCAAGCCACTTTGCCGCGAAGTGAGGTAGGCAAATGCGGCGTGTCTCCTCGGACTCGTTGGCCAGAAGTACCTGGCGACTCCTTCAGTCGTGTCACCTCCTTCAAGGAGTCTATCTAGGAATTCCAAAGCCTTCCTTCACATTGTACGTGGGAAAAAATCAGGTACTGTAAAATGAAAAATACAGGGAAATGTATTTTTCTAGGGACCAGAAGTGAAAATCGATAAATTAGCGGTTAGGCGGAATGTCGGGTCGATTGCTGGAACCTACCACACTCGACATTATCTATTCCTTTAATTATCTTGAAAGCCTGGATGAGATCGCCCCTCCTTAACCTTCGTTCGAGCNTCGCTTGCAATCAACTCCCTCTTTTCATTCATTAGCGGCCCGATCGACTGTTGACACCTACCACTAGCATACTGATAAAAAGCCTTAGGGTTCTTCTTAGCATCGCTAGCCAGCCGTTCCTCGACCTCCCGTCTCGCAGATCTAATTTCCCGCTTCAACTTCCGCGTGATCCTCCTATATTCCTCATAGTCCGTGCTATCTCCCGTCCGCTTGTACGCATCCCATTTCCGCTTTTTATCCCTGATGAGAGCTTTGATTTTACCCGTAAACCAGACCGGTTGCCTGCCCGATTTCATGGATTTCTTGGGGATGCATTCCTCCATAAAGCCCTGCAATAACGTCTTGAACGCCCCCCACTGCTCCTCTACCGTCTGCCCACGGAGCCGCGACTCCCAGTCGATGCCTGAGACGCATTCACGTAGTTTCTCGAAATTAGCCTCCTTATAGTTGTACCTATGGGCTGGGCCTAGGCTTGCAAAGCCAGTCCCCCCTGAAATGTCCCTCAGGGCATGTACCTCCAAAGTTGGAATTTTTCTGAACTCTGCATCCCAATAGCTACTTGTGTACCAAGTTTCAGATTTCTAACTTCTCTAGAATATGGTTAGAATTAGCGTCAGTCAGTCAGGATCGTCTATATATATTAGATACATCTGCGATGCAGGTATTAAAGGGGTTTCACGTCTCAAGAAATCTCAAGATGGAGTGAGAAGCCCCCCCCCTTTTTCTGTTGCGTCACAGTTCATGAACGTCCCCTCCTCCGGTTCTGATTGGTAATTTCGATTTTTCCTCGCCGGCCCCTTCCCAATACTCTGTTCACACGTGTGCTAATTTCCCCTTGATATGACGAACAGCAGACACCCTTGGTTGATTTTTCAATCCATATAGATCAAATTTATATTTAGATTTCACTTTAGATTCAGCTTTAGCTTCAGATTTAGATTTAGTCTAGCAGGGGCGAGGAAGAGGCCCAGGTCTCACATGTCATGGGATCTTGTCTTCCTTTCTCTCTTATCTGTTCTCTAGGAAAAAGCAACCACCATTCTCGAATCAAAATTGTACTAATGTCAACAGTCAAAATGATATTAGATCCGCGAGAGATTAGAATGACGAATTCTTCTCAGCACAACTGAGAAGAAAAGTGAGCTTCAATGAGAAGTCAGGTGTAGAAAACTGGGGACCAACGAAAGTCTCGAAGCAGTTATCGAGACTACACGTCGCCATTGCACTCTCAACTCAGGTTGACCACAGCAGGATCGAATAGAAACACTTTTGCAATAAATAAAAAAACGAATTCTAACGGAGGCAATCAAAAGCTTTCAAATGATACACAGGAATTTGGGTGCAAAATTTATTTGAAAAGCCATCGCGGTCAGGTCAAAGGTTAAATCTGAAAAATAAGTTAAACTGAGTTTGTACATCTGCAAAAAAAATTAGAGAACGAATGAGCTATCGTTGATGAAAATAGATTGAGAAACCTGGAAGGAGTTGGGAAACTTGACGAAATCCGGTCAAGCAGAAATCTAAAGGTCGTTATGTAAGCTGTGAAGATTTATATTATGAAGATTCCGTCTGCAGGCGTGTTAAGTTCGAAACTTTGGGGACTACCTGGTATTATCTACTCCTGACGTATAAAGGAAACTTTATGCTTGCTTATTATTTTCCAGAAGAAGAATGCGACGCGACGTCACCAACAACCGACATCACGTCGGACACTACTGAAATCTCAAGTTCCTCCGATACCGATTCCTCTGTCACAGGAACCACTACTGATCCCTGGATGACGCTCTGCGATTCGATGGGAGAATGCAAACAGGATCTGACAGAGAGCACGGGATTTCTAGAACCCTGCGTAAATACCGAAGGATTAGTTCCTGCATCTCAGGTATGTTATGAGAAAACGTCATCACAGCCATAAAAAATGCTTATTTAATTTCATTGATGGTAGTTCAGAATAGAAGGGAGTACGAGAGACGTTCAAAAAGTTCTGGGAATTCCATCAAGGTACAAAAGGAAATCGAGCTTAATCTCTTCTGATCAGAGGTTTTGGATAAGGCTAACCTTGCTTATTATTGAATTCAGTACTGTTGCCCGAATAATCTCTCGAGCAGAGTTATTTATCTCAGATCAGTAGTACTTTCGAAGCCATGGAAGACGCAGTGAAAACTCAGGGAGCGATTATTTTCCTTTTTTGGGGCGAAACTGCACACGGTTCTGAGATCGTTCAGAGGCTGCAGGCTGTCTTTGGAGAATCTCCAAAATCGACGAGTAACTTTTACCGATGGTTGGACCCCGGTTAAGTATTGTGGCCAGACCGTAAAAGACGACCCCATCAGCAGTCGCCCTCGAACGGCTACCAACGATGAAAAAATTCCCCTTTGCGGAAAATATTCTAAAGAAATATCGACGAGTTACCTTTCAGAAACTTGCTACTATCCTGGGGATCAGCACCGGCAAGGCTCATGAGATTCTCCATGAACATCTCGGTATCACGAAGGTTTCTGCCAGAAGGGTTGCCTGTTGGGGCCTGAACAAAAGGTCGATCGAATGGAAACGTGTGAGAGCTGCTTCAACTTTGCTAAGAATACGAGGAGAGTTTTTTTCTACCGTATTATCGATGTAGATGAGACGTGGCTTCCCTACATCAATTCCGAGACCAAATCACAATCTAAGGAGTGGCTAAAGATTCCTTCTGAAGGATCGGACTGTTTCCTCTTTGAGGAAGGTTATGATTATGGCTTTCTGGGATTGCAAATTGATAATATATAGTAGGTAGCCCGGGCAAAAGCACGGAAGTATTTAAAGGCAATGAATGCCCACATGGCCGCAGGAGGCAGTCGCCGCACTCTCGATTCACGCACGAAGTGATTCATGGAGTTTAAAGTGGGCCTGTAGTGCGCATTGGCGGAGTATAGGAGCTGGTACCAAGGGATTATTGGAGCAGCCCTACTGAATACGAAAGCATGCCCTGCTAAGACCCGCCAACACCTCTACCATGCACCTCGTCGTCGCCCTTCGTCTCCTCTAGTCTATGTTTGCCTTTGAACGTTCGCTTCGTCAAAGGAGCTTAGGTTCGTTTGACTTTATCCCCTAGACCTGGTGTAAAATAGGTCAACCGTTATGATGCAAGGGCGGCGTAACGTTATCATCTTCGTAGGCCAAGAAATCTCACCAAAGGCAGGTCAGGAACTTGAGACCCACTTGATAAATTGGGGATAGAGAAACGGAATGGTTACGACGCCGCCGACGTCGTCTTTTCTATCCAAATGTGAGCGCTCCTGTAGCATACATGTGGGATCCCGCCGTTTTCACCCTCGGGAGTCGCTGGGCAGAGATATGGGCGGAGATCTCATACCGTCGAGATAGCAATCCAGAGATGAAAGGGGACTTTAAGTGCTATACGCGGGGACGTTTCACACATCACTGCGGAGAAGTCCGTATCGGACCCCCAAAGTTGGGGGGGGGGGGGTGCGAAAAATGTCTCTCACTCCCTTTGTAATGTTAGGGATGGCATGGAGAAGTTTTTGGTAAAGTCGTGGATTCGGTGGTGTATTGTTGACCCACTTGTCTGGCATCAAAGCGGCCCAGGGTTCGATTCTCGTCCCCTCCGTCGTTTACTCTTCATCCTCTTATTTCATCCGAACTCTCCCCCTTCCCCAGGGGCTATTACGTTTCGAGAATAGATCCGACTCTCGCAACGGCCGGGGAAAAAAAATGCTTACCAGAGAGCGGGAGATGTACACCCAGAGGAAGGCAGAAGACCCAATGGGGAGAGAACACGCAATCACGCTGATCGCACACGTGCGTTATGGGTGCGCGCGCATGCCAACGACCACCACCACCACGGACCATATTAGATTTTATTATACTAGCGGCTGCCGTCTAATAGGCAGAAATTTGAATCGTCTATTGTGAGCATAACGTCTCTTTGACATCCTCTGTTCATCGCATTACCCATTCGGAAGTGAACCGCTTCATTAGATTTATACACATACAGCTTACGGTACACAGGGAGATTTTGTTCCTAAGCACCATCATCATGATATTCGAGCTCATTGCCACAATCACCATTGTGAACGCCTCGGTTTAGCAGGTTTTCATGAGACTTAAGACGACTTTGTTGATTTCGTCGTACCAGCACATTCAATGCTCTTGCATCACCGATTAGCTAATGGGCTATCAGCATTAGCTTATGGTACATTTACCACTGATTCTGAAACAGTACGGGCCATTTCCAAGAGCTTGTTCGACTTTAGCACAGAAGGTAGTTAGCGCATGTGCGGCACAATACTAACGAATGATTCCTGAAAATGCCTCGCCGCCGCATTAGCACAAGTGAGCAACACATTCAGAGCCTCAGAGTAAAGTGTGAGTTGTAGCAGGAGCACTTTTCCGTTGTGGCAGCAATGTGAAACAAATGTCCCCTCCCTACAGCAAAATGTACAGCCTGGCAGTGTTCGCTGTGACAAACGACTGTAGTCATCTGAAGATGACATGGAAAAGCATGAGAAAATGTCCCGAGTTCCGTGTGTTATGGTTTTCGACACCTGAGTGCTGTGTTCCTTGCATCAAGTTGCTCTACAGATTGCACGGCTCTCGTATTGACACGAATGCTGAGCGAATGCTGAGCTCAGCATTCGCTGCCTCTTGCTGTCCAGCGGTCTGAGCGGCCCTACGCTCCCTACGTACAGCTGAGTGCTGGTCATCTCTCATTCTAGCCATTACGGCTAGCACCTCCTAAAGCGCCTAAAGCAGTGCGATTTCATTCCCTCATTGCAATGGAAGCTGCGCTGAACAGGTGGATCAGAAACACTCCAGAAATTTTTTTTCTGACGATCAAAGGAAACTGATTCCTCCCTGGGGGAAGTGCGCCGAACTCAGGGGGGACAATGTTGAAAAGAACAACGATGATGAATAAAGAAGTTACCCAGAAATTCCTAAAACTTTCTGAATGCCCCTCGTATTTTAAGCAAAACTGACTTCTCTTGATTGGGTTCCGTCATCGGTTCTGCGCCACTCTCAAATTAATTGCATTTCAGCTTAATGTAGCTAAGTTTCTACTAACCCTATTAGTGCCAGACAATTTATCGTTGTTTGATCATTAGCACTACGAGGAGTAAATGGTAGTTTTCTGCTTTTCTATTACGTCCGCAGAAATCAAGACATTGAGATATGGCAGAGCGTAATGTATTAGGGGGGCACCGACACCTCGACCGCATACTACAACTTCTACAACTTAACACTTATGATTGTTTCCTTAAATTTTTCTTCACCAATAGTGCCAAAAGAATTTCCTGTGGATGCTAATGTACCGATCACTCCTTTAATACGGGATATTCACATCTTCACCGCATCCACGTGTACAAAGGGTAAATCGTAACCTTTTTGCGGTCCACGCCCGAGCAATCGCGGGTTGGCCTGATGACGAATAGGAAAAACTCGAATGACAGAGCTGACGCATTCGAAATACTCATACCCAAAAGGGTTGATGCATTCGTCTCAAATTTAATTATAATCGCCATTTTGTTCAGAGAATAGTGTGCCCATTTTCCTTATGACGGTGACTATCTTTTCGCCTTGGTTGAGCTGAGGGTTATTTCCTTTGCTGAGCGACGTTTCGTGGTAGTATGTTTTCTTTTAGAAAGATATTTTGCAGGTAAGCTTCAGCGTGTGTGAGTTTGTTTCCACTTGTGTTTTGGCGCACGCGTGGGTTTTGGTAAAATATTGGTGGATACTTTCATCAGGATCGTATATCGCCCCATCATCTCCAGACTTTTTTCTGTCTTCAGTCAAAATTACAACATATTGTTTTCAACGCGTAGCTATGCCTGTGGAACATCGTCGGAAACGATGGGATCGACACGATCGAGATCTTACTGACGCCTGAGGATTTTGGGGAATTCGAAGATGGAAGCCTGCTGTTGAGAATTGGCTATGGATACAAAGACGATTTCCCACTAGAACCTGAAGACACAGAATTGGCTAGATTTGATGGCCCTGTGACACAGAATGTGACTGTGAAAGTGAAATCCGAAATTGCCTGGGTTAACATGCTGGTCTACATGGATCCGATCGACCTTTTCAGGATCTCCTATATCATGAAGAAGGAAGGTATCCCTTTCTATTGATTTCAAGCATTTCTGTGAGAATCGCACGATAATATAAACCTAACTCTATCATAATTATGAAAGTATGAATAAGCTATGATTGGTTATTTTCATTATAAACATGACTTACCTTAGGCTCCTAGAATAGAGATTGAGTAGCCAGCCTAGGCGCAAGGGAAAAGTGATAAATTATCAGATTAGGAGATTTGGGAGAAACAAAGGGGAAAAACAACAGAGGATACTAATGAAAACTCCCGTGGAAACTTATTATTTCTGCACATCCATGATCTCCACTTGTGCTCGGCCCCGCTGATTTTATTACTCCCAGTTCCGTCAAACACCATTCCACCAGTTTCTCAGCGAAAGATCCTGTGTGATCATGCATTTAGGCTCTGCCATCATCCAAAGCAGGATGATGTAGAAACCACAAGAGTTCCATCTAGGGTGTATTTTTGAACAGAGAACTATCCGATAATGCAGTTTTATTCCAAGGAAAATACATGATATTTTCTGGAAATGAAGCTGCAGCATAGGATAGTTCTCTGTTCAAAAATCCAATCTAATTTTCCCGGAAAAGGAACGGGCTCCTTTCCTGACTGGAACTGAAGGATTAAGTCTCTCACTGATTTCCTTTCGCAGATATTTGCGTATCTGTTACCCAAACCTTCCACAAGTTCGTACCGATAGACGACGCATAAATCTTCGTTTTTTTGTTTGTCTCTACCAGCATCACGGCCAAAACCTTCCAGACCGCTAGGGTATTTCAAGAGGTGCCAGCTTTCGACCCCAGTGTGGGGGATTGGATAGGTTTCATATCAAGTTGAAATTTACCCGGAGCGGTTCGAATGATAACATCTGCAACACTAACAGTATCGGGATGGAAAATGGCATAAATTTACAACTCATCTTGCCGAACCAGCACGAGTTGCGGGAATATCCGTGCAAGGACATCAGGAATACTTAATCCTGCAGTTTCAGTCAGAAGGGATCTGCTCCTTTTCCGGGAAAAAAAAAGTGACTCATAGTTTCGAAGGGCCAAATTTTTGAAAAAATTTACCTTAGTTTTTTTCAAAAAAAGGCACTCCAAATGATATATCGTTTAAAATATATCCGGCTCACCTTCCTAGAGACAATACCCATGATACCGTAAGTGCTACGAAACATTGAAAAATACCCGACCAATGATGACCAAAAATGAAAAAATTTTAGTTTAGTTTAGACACGTTTAAGATACATTTTCTCGATTATAGTGGACAAAAAGTCAAACAGTACCTTGTTTTATCGATGCAATCGGAAGTGGAATGCAAGTTACTGTAAGGAGAGATATGCCCTTTCCCTTGCCGCATAAGGAAATTTCATGGTTAAAATCGGCAAAATTCCAATATTTTCGTACTCTATGATGCTGAAATCTCGTTAAACCTCCTAGGATGAATGAAAATGAATGTTGATCTGTGGAATAGCTCCGATTCAAGCAATAGCACGCCTCCTTCCGATGAATGGTTCCTGAGATGAAAAATTTGCCCGCCCAAGGGATTTTCCCGTCCTCCCCAGAGTTTGAGGGGCGATACCTCGTTAACTGTAGACGCAATGGAGCCCATTCTTTTTTTTACGCAGTCGTTAGATTGACTGTAATTGCTGATAATTTTCATCTCGAAATCCGACATGGTCGAACCTAGTTGAATCCGTATGGAATGACTCACGAAGTACGTGGTTAATTCATCGTTGTAATTGAATCTTAGGCTGGGTCAAAAGAAACGCAGAAGGAGACGTTGAAGCAGTAAATCAGCCACGCTTCCGACAGTGCAGCAGCTTCCCTCACCGAAACTCGACAATTTCCCCGCTGGAATGGACCACCGTATCAAAAAAGCTGTCCTTTTCAAAGTTAGAGTGTCTCTGCGTTGATCACTTGCACTTCGAGGATTATCCCCCCCAGCTGAGACCGTCAGGATTCTAGGAAAGACAATGAACTTATGTTTACCTTAAAAAAAATTAAAACCTTGGAGTCTATTCCGAAGAACGATAGAGGGCAAGGGTGAGCTTCCTGGGTCGGTTCCTTTACCCCTCCTTTTTCTTGGATTCAATTCCAAAAGATTTTTAATATTCTAAGGTAAAAGCAGCTCTCTCCATTCAAGGCAGAATCCTCAACATAACCTATCATAGGATTTTTGCTAGACATGTTTTTTTTTTGCTATATGGTGAGAGACCGCTCCTTTCTCTTATTTAAGGGACGCCGAATGTAACGATGGAACCAGAAGGACTTCTGGACTTCTTCTGGGACCAGGTGAGTCTCTACATGGCCTCTATGGAATATCTTCTTATGCGCATATTGGAACGCTTGTCAATTGAATACAGCAATAGGCGAGGTAGAAAAATTTGCAATAAATACGCCTATAGACAGGTGTAATGCGCATTAACATTTTTTAACGCATTTCTAATAATAAAATAGGAATTATTTACACCCTTTTAGCACCAGAGATTATGAAATTGACGCTACGAATTTCGCTATATAGTGTCACATATTGTGCTAAAAGAGTTAAGAAATGTGTTTCGAAAGAGCGCTTGATCGTGCTTCTTCTTTAACTTATCCTTTCAGCACCAGGTCTTGGAATATGGCATTTTAAAACCAAATTGGTAGCATCGACTATTAATAGAAGAGGTAGTAGTAATAATCGACTAGTGAATAATGGGTCAAACTATTTGAAAAACTACAAAATCTAGCATTAAAAAGCAACGAAAAATGAAAAGAAGTGCTGGGATTTGACCCAGTTGGGAGAAGGAGATCCACTGCACCTATTGGACAACCTAACAGAAACCATCGAAGACCAAGGAGGACTGACGGGAGACGAGATCGACGAATTGATGGATCTACTCGACCTCCTTTTCGACGATTTCCTCGACAGCCTCGACGAATACCCCTCGCCGCCGGACAGGACCAAGGAGTTCCTTGCGAATTACAGTCGCACCGTAGAGGAAATGCTCGTCTCCTTCGAAGGATGGCTCGATTTGACACAGGTGATTCAAATTGGCGGACCTCTGTGTTACCTAATTAACTGTCGGTGCAGTGGTCCCGCGACCTTCAAGTGGCTTCATGAACGGTTTCTCATAGATGTCTCGAACTGAGAACTTCGCCACGTTGACGTCGACTTTTGCCAACTACGGAATGCAGCTGTTGGAAAAGCTTCTCTTGAACATGACGGAACTGGAATTTCTCCGATCAACGACAGTCTTCACGGCCGAAGTTCGCAGCGGAACGAAAGAGAGTTTGACCGGCCCTGTCGTCTTTCCCTCGGCAGGGGGCGACACGTATTTGACGTTGCCGGCAAGTTTTCGGGACGATGTCGGCGGTGACCACTACTCCTACGTCGGCGCGTTGTACAACGTCCGGGATCTGAATGACCTGCTTCCGGGACATCAGAATTTGTCAGTTGAAACCAAGTGACTTATTCGTAGGTCTATCGGAAAGTCTTCTAAGCTTACGTGACCTTAGATGAGGCAATTACAAAATTTTTTATTAATATATATTCTAGGGACATTCGGTTTGAAGGGAGATTCATAGACTTGAAAGTAAACTTCTGCTCGTGATTGCTGATAGTGCCACATGTTAAAAATTAATGTTTGATATGTTATATTTCAGATTTGGAGATGATAAAGTAGTAAATACGAAGTTGCTTAGCTTTTCTATGAAGGTAAGTGGGAGAGGGAACCTTAATGACCCAGTAACCCTGACTTTTCGAAACGCCCAGTCCCCGCAAAGTCCAATGTACAAAGAAATCTGGCGAAACCTTCACGACGGAGAGAAGCCAACCTTCATCCCCCAATCTCACCAATGCGTCTTCTGGAACTTCAACGGATCGTAAGAAAAGACATCCGCATCTCCGTCTGCGGGTTTTGCATTGCAGGCCTTCAGTAATTTCTCTTTGGCAGCGGCTTCTGGGACACAGAGGGTCTCCGTGAGGTTTCCTCAGATCGGGACAACACCGTCTGCCAATCGCACCATCTAACCAATTTTGCGGTGTTAATGAGCACTCACGACTACGTAGTGAGTTCATGCTTCAATTCACTCAACGGTCGTTAGGGGCCTTGATCGATGCTATGTGATTCGCTCAATTTGGACTCACCACGGATGAGCAAAAGAGCATCTCAGAGCAAATTCCCCCATTCAAATGTTTATTGGTTACAAGAAATGCAGACTTTTTTCAGGGTCGCGGTTGGGTTCTTGAGTTATTGACGATGACATTGGTACCCTGCTCCGTGATATGCCTTGCAGTGTCAATTTTAATCTTCCAAAAGAGCAAGTTAGTAACAACTATTGTGCCACGCATAGGTTTCCTTTAATAAATATATCTCCCATAATTTTCTGTCGATTCACAGGAATTCCAACAATGATCGGCACATGTCTCTGCACTTGCATCAGCAACTTTCTTTTTGGTTACTCATTGGATATCTCCTGGTGCTTTTCGTCATCGATCATCGTTTCGTCCCGTTATCAAGGGTAACAGCTCATACCCTTTTTTTTTGTGAGTTGCTGCTATACTTCATGATGATTTCGTATCGGTGGACAGATGGGTTGCGCGGTGTCAGCGATCTCCATTCACTTTACCTTCCTGTGCGTCTTCACCTGGATGGCTCTGGAAGGGTGGCACCTGCATAGCAAGCTGCAAATGGTGCAGAGACGGAGCTTCTCGCTTCGATTCTATCTCATGGTCGGGTACACCGTGCCGGTGGGGGTTGTGGCTATCACGGTTGGTGTGTCCTTTGGGACTGGGATTCGCTATTACGGAGAGGGAGAATTGTGAGCAATGCTACTATTCTCAATACGCTTCGGGAAAGTGTTTCTGTCTCTTGGTAATAAGTACGTAGATTGGTGAGAAGGATGACAAATGTGTCGTGCAGATGTTCTCTTGCACTGTGATATGGTGTGCCATGGGTGAGGTTATGGTATTGCGTGCACAACTATTGTGTTGTCGAAGTTGAGACTTCACAATTTTTGGCAATTAAATAAGGTCAAAGGAAAAATAAGGCCATTTACATATGCTTCGTTTCTATGAAAGTGTTCGGCGTGCATCTGTGGGGAGCTTTGTGGAGAAGTTCATTTTGCTCGCTGGGGAAGGTTTTGGCAATCTGACTTGAACGAGATTGACAATGATGGGAATCACTCGAATACCCAATATTTGATACTCATTTTCTGTCTTTCGTCATTAATTTCTCATTGTAATTCCTCTTAGCCATGATTCTGACGAGATATCATTTTCAACATTTTGAATATGCGAGTGTCTCCTTGTTTCATGACGTAGTTGCTGGCTGTCCTCGCCTGCTTACATCTGGGGGTTTGCGGCTCCAGTCCTGTTGGTCGTCGGTGCCAATTCCATTCTCCTTATTTGGGTGTTCAGTAAGGTGAGGAAAGTCGGGAGGGTTCCTAATGGGATGCAGAAACATCAGGCAGAGAGTAATTCTGTGTAAGTTTGAATGGAAGTTCTTGCTTCGCTCTATCCATTTCTGCAATATGGCAGAGTATGCATAAATGTGTTGCAGAAGCAGCGCTGTGCGGGTGTTCTCCCTCGTGTGTCTCCTCGGTTGCGGATGGTTGCTGGGGGTCCTGCAGATGGAGGTCTCGCCGGTTTTCGCCTACTCCTTCGTCGTTGTTGGCTGCTCGCAAGTAAGGGGAAGGCTCCTGGATATTATTTTCTTTGCAGTTGAATAGGAGAGGAAGGAGCCCTATTAGCCTCCCTATTCTTCCCTATTCTCCCTATTCTCCCTTCCCTATTAGCGTCCTAGGATGCGTCTGAGAAAACATCTTAGGATGCATTACATTTCAAATGCAACCCTTTCCAGCAATCTTGCTTATATTTGTCATAGCTAGGAAAAAATAAAACGAATTTGATGTTCTCTGTCCTCCGAAACGTCTTCGTTCAAAGTTCGATTTGCTTTCTGGCTCGATGATTCAGGACAAAGAATGCATTATACTCATAAACGAAATGTTGAATTAATCAAGAATTATTGACGGTCTATTCTAATGAGGGTGGGTGAGAAAGGCCTCCCATCTTCCTATAGGTATTATTGGGCATTTTATCATAATGGAACCGATACCAAAAAAAATAATATTGCCAAATGCTTGAAAGCTGCTTGAAATGGAACAAGAGTGGATATCCTTTCAAGAACCGTGTGTAATGAGGACGATATGCTCATGCGTCATAATTCCATACCACAATATCATCAGACCAACTTCATTTACCATTCCGAAATGCGTAATTCGCCTATAAAATGGCAAAATGAATGTAATGCCGGTAATCACGCGCACCATGAAGCAAATTGTGAGCAGTATAGACGTCAGGAGCTGGATTTTCTGCTGACGTCGTGCTGATTACATTATACTTGCATGCATTCAATGGGAAAATGCCAATGTACTCATAGTTATGGATGATAGATCCCTAGCCAAGAGTTGTGCTTAGTGCTTTATTTTGACGTGCATTGTGGATTCCGTTTTTCTCCAGGGCATCGGTATCTTCATCTTCTACTGCTTCATGGTCCCAGACAGAAGAGAAAAGCTGGTTCGCTGCCTCAAGATCTACTGACCTGCGAATCACATCTTCCGCCGAAAGCCAGCTACGAGCAGCGACGCCGCGCTGGAAGACCAGGAAGAACGAGAAGAATGGCTTACGGGCGTTCAAAGGATCCACGTTGAACACGGGAATGACCACGTCTGCTAATTAAGTATTCGTAATGAAGATCATCCGTCTGTACTATTTGACTTTTTTTCGAAAAGGAACTTGTTTTGACATTCTTCCTTGCAATCCATTGACTGGTGTCTTAGACGCTCAAGTGTATTAACAAGTTGCCGAATGTTGACTCAATCATGTGATTAACATAGGCATGGTTGACACATTGTCACCAAATAGAAATCAAAGCGACCCAAAGGAATTGTATTTTGAAAAAAAAGAGAAAAAATGTAATAACTTCATGGATAGGAATGAGAAAGCACGAGAAACCGACTGGAATTCGAGCAGATTTCATGCCCCTGGCACGCTGCGTCACCCGCCGCACCTCCAAATCACCTCCAACGGATCGCATCGTAAGCAGCGACATCCCTAGGAGCATTTAAGAAGGAATCAACATTGTATCAATGTTGATTCAATGTTCTTGTTCGATTAGGGATCGGTCCAGGAGCGTAAGCTGAAGGCCATGCATAGAAGGTAATTATCCGTACATCAAGAAATAAATGGGGTCACGGTTGAAGGAAGCGTTTTCTGACGTCTTCGGTTCTGGTCAACGAACTAACATGTGGGATTCCGTGACAACTGTGGGAAAGAAGGGGGTGTCATGGACCTTTCGCGTAGAACGAGATGCAACGACTCTCGGTCATTTCGGACAAAGATGACTTTCCCTTTTCGGTCATCGCGCGAAGTTAAGTACCTCAGATGACAATAAAAAGTTCAACACTAACGAATTCGAACGCATCTCCTACAATGGCTTTGTGAAAATAGTTGTCGCAAGGAGGTTTCATTTCGGTTTCAAAAGTTTTTTTTTAGGTAAGAATTAGATAAGAGGGACAGTGACAATTTCACTGCTAACGCCATACTTGATTGAAAATTAATAAGATTAAGGTATAAAAGGTATAAAAGGTCGCGGAGCGTAAGTGACACAGGTTAGGTACGGAGTTATCTCCTGGTTCGCTCTGTCGCGGTGGAACAAAGGGGAGAGAATTCGAGAAGCTTATACGGTCCGTACCTGCCTCTTTACAGAACTTTGGTCGAGCCCGGCTTCCACTACTCTCTTACCTTATCGTGGAACTTTCACGACGGTGAAAGTCAGTGTCTGTTAGGGACAATGGTTGGTGGTCCCAATCGAACTAACTTGAGGTTAGGTTCGAGCCCATGTGACGTTAGGGGGAGAATTACCTAGAGTCGCTCGTCGAGAACAGGGGATAAGACCGACAGAGACCAAGACAGACTTGTACCACCCATCTTCCCTCCTCCCCCCACGATCAAAGTGCACTCTCCAGGAGTTCTCGAGTGGACCGGCCCCCTAGAGACCATGGGGCCATCGTTGACGGGACTGATGTCTTAGTAGGGCTCCGGGACAGGAAACTTCAACTCTACTTTCCAACTGCCAGCCTAGAATCACTATAGGCTTCCCTGGCTATTCCATTCCGAATTGAAATACTTAGCTTTTAGTTCCACGTACGCCTACTATTTACAGTCACCATGGCTCGCTAGCGACATCTAGGGGCGAGAGCTGAAAGTATCGGTCTGGGTCAATCACCCCCCTTTCACCGTGGTCACCGGCTTTTTATTTCCTTGCTTATCCTCACCTTACCTCCCTATCCTGCATGACCCGTCCTCGACATATTCAGGCGAATAACCCTTTCTCCATACACCTCGCATACGCCAGGCGGATAACCCTTTTGAAGCATTCGACTGTTTCACTCGGTTTGACATTCACGGCATGCATCCGGCAACGTTGGGGAACCGAACCGCATGTGCAAAATCTATCTATCGCGGATAGATTGACTACCTGCTCGGAATAAACGACCTTCTCACCGTAACGACCCGACGCCTGATCATACCATCCCACATACATATCGTAATATCATACGTATTATTTTCATTAATTCCTCGTCTTAACAGAAATCTAGGAAGAAAGAGGGAAAAACACTCTAGAATAGGATAGGGGGGCTCCACCCCCTCCCCCTCCCCCTCCGACAAGCCACTCAGACAGCTAAGGCGCGAAACACGCCAGGAGAATCTCTCCACGGATAAAGAGATATCCTCCCACTCGACCTCCGATGCATCGCGCATTCGAGGCTGCGAGGCTTCAAGGCGAGTTCTGGCTGAAAGGGAAATCTGGGATTTCTCCCTAATCCGATATTATGAAATCTCTTGGCTTCTTTCAACTGGTCCTCGTTCTCTTGCTTGGAGCCTGTGAGTTCCTTTCTTTATCAGCATTTCTCTTCTTCGTCCGAATTTGATTGAACTTTCCTCGTGTCGCGAGATGTACCGACACGTACCGACACGTACCGACGCGTACCGACGCGTACCGACACGTACCGACACGCACTACTTCTCGGGTCCCGAGGGGAGGCGACTCGTCGCCTTCGCCGAATCGTGAAATCCAACTATCGGCATTCTCGCAAGTTTTTCGCATCGAAATTTCCGCGCAAATTCTTCAATAATTCACTGAAATCCGAAGAAACATGTTAAACCATGTATTATCGTCCTGAGAATTCCAGACGAATTAGGGAGAAAGCAACCGACTTATCTGAAGGAGCCTCAAACTCAAAAAAAAAATATTATTTTTTTTTCTCGAGGACATCGACCAAGGAGATAGATCAAGAAAGCGTCTTCTGACCTCAGATTTCGAATACGGGAGCAACTTCATTAATTTTTTTTTTTTTTGGGGAGGGAGACTGTTTTCGGAAATACCTTCCGCAGTAGACGAAAGAGGGCGTCGCCACCCGCGAGGCGAGATTGGAATTCGCGATGTCCATGCGAGCCGAAATAGCATTAGAAAGAGAGAAAGCGATCCGAAGAAAGCATTCCTTCGTTGCGTGACATCGCTCTTCAAAGAGCGTTTAATCTTATCTTGCATGAGCTAATCGGGAATATGAGATAATAAGGAAACATTACGAAAGGTCGACGCGAACTTGCGAGGATGGGTCCCGTTTTAGTCCCCGGCAACGTGATTTTCTTTCTGGGAGGTCGCAGGGCCTCGATAGGGCCTCGATGGGGCATCGATGGGGCCTCGATGGGGCCTCGATGGGGCATCGATGGGGCCTCGATGGGGCATCGATGGGGCATCGATGGGGCCTCGATGGGGCCTCGATGGGGCATCGATGGGGCCTCGATGGGGCATCGATGGGGCATCGATGGGGCATCGATGGGGCATCGATGGGGCATCGATGGGGCATCGATGGGGCATCGATGGGGCATCGATGGGATGCGGAGATTGTCGCAATCACGTCGTATAGCTCATTTCCGGGAATTTCCCTTCGAGCATCCTGGAAGCACTTGTAATAGACTTTCCGGTGCTGAAAGGGTGTGGTTGGGTCGATGTCGCCTCACCCCGGCGGTCTCGAGTGTCACAAGGACCCGCTAGGACGTAGCTGCACATCGTGCGAACCAATAAGTTAACATGAGGAAAAAACGCGACTTCTACCCAAGAATCCGCGAGTCACGAGTACAGAAGGAGTCAACGGGCGCATAATAATAATATTCTAATAATATAAATAATGCATGCTAGCTGACCCGTGGAAAACTTCCAGGAGCTCTTCGGCACGAACCCGTTCATTCGCGACCCTAAACCTCAGTGACCCCCCTCATCGCCATAAGCAGCAATGACATGTAACAGAACAGGGTTGAGAATAAGCCTATGGGGTGATCTGTGTGCCTGCGAGGGTATAGTGCGTCGGTCTCGTATCGCCGTGTATGAATATGTAGGGGTTGCGTTGTACTTCATGAGCAGCACAGAAGGCATCTTTACGCCGAGAAAGGAAGTGAAATGAAGCCTTTGAAAGGTCTCTGAAGGAAACAACCTTTAAAAATTCAACCACTCCTATTTCAAGTACCAAGGTCCAATTTAGTTCATGTTGTGCTTGTATATCAGCTGTGCACTCGCAGTAATGTAAGAAGTGGGCTAGGTTTTCTTAGGAGGAATATGTATGCACATTTGGAAGTTTGCAACTAGTGGTACCAAGATTCGGCTTCTCTGATGTGTACAGATATATATATATAACTATATGTGGTATAAATGCCAAATTAGGTAGGCCAAAATTCCATACATATGAATAGCCATTATGATATAGTATATCGCGTAGATCACTGGCCCAACATGGTATTTTGCGATGCATAAGATTTAACTGTTCCGTGTAAGCAGCTCGAGTTAGTCTTTCATTTCATAAGTTTTGGATTTTGTGCCAGAATCTTAAATTACGCCTTACCACTCCCGACATCATCGTTGGTGGGTTGTACATGAATAGCAAAGCAAAAGTGGGAAAAGATTGTGGAAGTCTTAGCTATTCCCTAATAAAGACGGCTTGCAGTGATTCCAAACCTCCAAAACTCTGATGGTGTACTAACTCAATTCCATATTCAAAGACTGACTGTACAAGGGCATCAAATAGCAAGAAGCAATTCTTCATGGGTAGTGCCCTGGCTCTTCTTGTAGATTGAGAGACCCCACGCAGTGCAACTTTAGCTTTTATGAAACGTTCTTTGAGTTGTTTCCTCCATCTGCCGTTTGCAGAAAATACAAAACCAAGGTAGTTATAGCTCCAAGCATTGTCCTCCATACACCCAGCTTTCACCCTTTCTCCAGCGAGTTTCCTTCGTACTGACTAGGATTTTGGATTTATCCTCATTGACCTCCAAGCTGTACTCCATGCAAAAGGACTGTAGAGCTGATAGTATGCGACCCAGGCCAAGGGGAGTTAAAAATATCTTAGGGTCTTATTGGACCCTTGACCTATAGGATTCGGAGAGGATTTTTTGGGTTTCGAAACCCAAGCATTACGACGGAAAAGGCGACCGGGGTAAATATTGGCGCAGCATTTTGATGTAAATTAATTACCGATTAGGGGTTTTCCTATGGTAGGGACACTTGCATTATTAATACCAGTCCTGCCCAAGTCTCCATAATTTATGGCCCGACCCAAATATGTCGCCGAATTACGCGTCCACTTCCTGTGATTGAGAGAAGTATAAATCTTCTCTCGACCTAAGAAAAGCAGAAGACAGAACCTGCGAGCACATATTTCTACTGAAACTCCTTTCGGACGGAGTCTACTTATTCTCGTACGTGGTTTTCAAATGGGAAAATGGGCATATATCTTGCCTGGACTCCATGATTCAATCTGGAAGATGGGGATGACAAATAGGGAAGTGTCGAAGTTTATTGATTGCTACAATGAGGCAAGGAGAGACATTTGGGGAGGTTCAAAACTCTCTTGTGAGAGACTATTCCATAAGTAAGGGGAGGGCACTTTTGTGTCCTTGAGAAATGCTAGAACCCAATACCTCCATCTAGTGGCCTAAAGGAGAACTTCAAACGGAACCCTATTGGCTTATAGGCTTCCGTATAGGCCCAATAGGGAACCCAATAGGTCCTATAGGTTCTAAAGGGAGAGCTATAAGTCCTATAGGGATCCCTATAGGCCCTATAGAGAATCATTTAGGTCCTATAACGAACCCTACAGGTCCCATAGGGAACCCTATAGGTTTAATAGGGAACCCTACGGGTCCCATACAGAACCCTTTGGGTCCTATAGGGAACCCTATAGGTTCTATTGGGAACTCTATAGGTTCTATAAGCAACCATATAGTCCCAAACTGAACCCTATGGGACTTACAGGAACCTATAGGATTCCTCTATGAGACATTTTCGTAAGGGTCCTGTCCTTAACTACAGCTTCGGAGTTATCGATTGGTCACCTACAGAACTCTAATCCATCGATGAGCGACCAGAAAACTCCTGACCATGCTTCACACCCACCATCCGAATGCTGCCGTTGAAAGACTCTACCTTCCGAGATACAACCCATTCGGCACAACAACGTTGTATCAACATTGAGAATAGGTTGAAACGTTGAGACTTGGTTGAAGTTGAGAATTCGACGAAAAATCAACATCAGTGAAATGCTAGCTATTCATAATTAACCGTATTTTCAGCATTTGGTGACTACTCGTGAACTAGGGAAGTCGTTCAGAGGCTATTAGGAGCAAATAAAAAAAATCGTACTTTCAATGTTGTTTTTACGTGGAGTTATCCACATCATATCAATTAAAATTTTGTTCGACGAATCGACGCGAGATGGCACATAACCGCCAATTCCGCGATTCTTATCCTGATGCCTTTAAATAACCAGTACCCTGCGTTTTTCAGACAGTACCCAATCTTTTCCCATTTACAGCATAGG